ACACCACTTATTACCTTACTTCTATTCCATTTCATTAATACAGGAAAACACAACAAGGCAATCATTCCGTTCGAATACTCCAATGAATCATTCTTATCCACCCATCATCAATGAAGGTATCGGTTTTGGAATATTAATACCTACAATTTTTAACTATGCTCTCTAAATCATAAAACATTTTTAATGTTTCCTTTTGAAGCAGATGATTTTAATCTCATTAATGAAAATGAGATCCAGCCTAACGAGGACGTACCACCTCGACAGCATACGATGGGAACAAGGCAATTCATAATTGTGCTAGAAACTTCAATGAAAACATGGGAATCCCAAGATTTCACATGCCAAATCCAACCACATGTCCAGATTGTCATGCCCGTTTGTTCTCTCATGAAACATTTGAAATGTGTTGCTTACGTGGAAAGCTTGCTCTACCATTGACACCATCCCCTCCTGAAATGACTGAGCTTTTTTGCAACCAATCTGCCCAGGGAAGACATTTTAGGCAGAATATACGAGCTTACAACCACATTTTTGCCTTCACATCAATGGGAGTTCATGTTGACGAAAACCTAGCAACAGGAAGACGTGGTATTTACACATTTCGTGCTCAAGGTTCCATATACCATAAGATTGGAAGTCTCTTGCCTATTGGAGATAGTAGACCAAGATTCCTACAAATGTATATATATGACACTGCTCATGAAATAGACAATCGGATGAGAGAAAGTGAAGCACTAAACAGAGATGTGGTTGAAAAAATCCAACAAATCTTGAATCAATATAATCCATTTGTGCAAACATTTCACCACCTTGCACAATGTCAAGATTTGCAAAGTTGTAGATTGATTATCAAGGAGCAGCCCACGAATCAACGACAATATTGTCTACCGTCTGCATCTCAGGTTGCTGCAATCATAGTAGGTGGTGAAGGATCAGAAAACATTAGAGGTCGAGATATTGTTGTGCAAACTACGGATGGTCAACTTAAGAGTATCAAAGATTGTGTCGGCTACTATGACCCTTTACAATATCCATTGTTGTTACCTTATGGAACGTACGGATGGGATGTGAATACTCGAAATAATACCAACAGAAAAGTGACATGCTGTGACTATTATTCGTATGTTCTTCAGGTAACCTAAGACCTTCATCTCTGTCAATAAATATTAATTTTTAAAACTTATATTGTGTTGAACAATGAATTTTATCATTTTAGATCCGTCAACATGATGAATCGCTTCTACTTCGTGGTGGCCGCGTATTGCAGCAATATGTAGTTGACAACTACGTAAAGATCGAATCACAAAAGCTTAGATGGATGCGTGATAATCAACACACAATTCGATCTGAATTTTATCGAGGACTACAAGACTCATTAATTGCAGGACAAAATAATGCAGGTATGAGGCTAATTAGTTTATATAAAAAAAAATATATTCTTCATGTTCATGTTTTGTCACATTAAATGAGACTTATTAATGGGTTGAAACAAAACAAACATATTTTTAGACTTATTAACGACTTTTAACAAAAACAAATACAGGAAACATTGGTCGTCGTAGGACTATATTACCATCATCTTTTGTTGGTAGTCCCCGTGACATGTATCAAAGGTATCAAGATGCAATGACTTTGGTGCAAAAATATGGAAGACCAGATATTTTCCTAACAATGACATGTAATCCAAATTGGGAAGAAATAAGTGATGAGCTACTACCTGGCCAAGCACCACAAGATCGACCAGATTTGCTTACAAGGGTTTTTCGTGCAAAATTCGAACAGTTGAAGAATGATGTTATAAAAAAAAGTGTTTTAGGCAGAGTTCTTGCGTATGTATATGTCATTGAGTTTCAAAAGCGCGGTCTCCCCCATGTTCACATGCTTCTCATGTTAGAAGAAAATGATAAGCTTAATAGTCCAGATGATTATGATCAAATGGTACGTGCTGAAATACCAATTCCAAATGAAGAGCCTGAATTGTATGGTGCCGTGTTAAGGCATATGATACATGGTCTATGTGGAATACACAATTCACGATCACCTTGTATGAAACGTGGTAGTTGTAAACGAAATTATCCTAAGCCATTTGCACCAACTACAGTTCAAGGAATGATTCTTATCCAGTCTATCGTAGAAGAGACAATCATAATCCAGTCCCATTAGATCAAAATGCACGTATAATGGTGGATAATCGGTGGGTCATTCCGTATAATTCATGGTTACTCCTCAGATATGATTGTCATATTAATGTTGAGATTTGTTGCAGCATTAAGAGTGTTAAGTATCTGTACAAATATGTTTATAAAGGTCCTGACCGAGTAGCTTTTGAAGTCCATCCTGAACCTATTCAAGATGAAATAAAGCAGTTTGTTGATGCAAGATGGGTTTGTGCACCTGAAGCTTTATGGAGAATATTCAAATTTGTAACTAATCGACTTTATCCATCGGTGGAACGATTACAAATTCATCTCCCTGAAGGACAAACTGTTCATTTTTACCCTCACCAAAGAGTATCAGATATTTTGGCAGATGACACAAACTCGATGACTATGTTGACAGAGTTTTTTACCAAGAATAACCACTTGCCCGGAAGCACGACGATACTTATACCGGGAGTTCCCTGAACGGTTCAGATGGAGTCAAAGAGATAAAGTCTGGAGTGAGAGGATGAATAACCATAAAAGTTATTGGCCGAATATATGCAGTTTCGCCAAATGAGGGTGAAAAATTCTACTTACGCATCCTTCTTAATCATGTTAGAGGACCAACATCATTTGACGATTTAAGAACAGTCAATGACATTGTACAACCAACATTTAAAAAGGCAGTGGAACAACGAGGTTTGCTAGAAGATGATGATAGCATCACACAATGTCTTCGTGAGGCCTCTAACATTCGAATGCCGCCAGTTTTACGAAGGTTGTTTGTTACCATCTTGGTTTACTGTGAACCGCATGGAGTAAGAAGATTGTGGGATGAATTTCATTCATTTATGGTAGAAGATTATTCTGTCTCAAGTACCATAAATAATACTTCTATCTTAAACAAGCTTTTGCAAGACTTGAATGGGCTATTAGTGCAACATAGTAAGTCTGTATCTGATTACGATCTACCACAAATAACACAAGATTGTGTTAGACACAACACACTTCCAAGGATAATATAAGATGAAGTTTCACTTGACATCTCTGAAGCAGACCTCAATGCGGTACAAAATCTAAATGAAGACCAAATGGTAGCGTATAATTCGATTGTGTCTGCTATTGAACGCCGAGACAATGCCATATTTTTTGTGGATGGTCCTGGAGGGACGGGAAAGACATACTTAGATTGTGCTTTGCTAGCAACGTTAAGGAGCAAAGGTCATATTATTCTGGCAACAGCAACATCTGGAATTGCAGCAACCATATTGCCAGGCGGAAGGACAGCACACTCTAGATTTAAAATTCCCCTCAGTCCAGATGCATCTTCCACGTGTTCTATTAGTATCCAGTCAGATTTGGCAGAATTGATAAGAAAAACATCAGCTGTTGTTTGGGATGAAGCACCAATGGCACACAGGTTTGCATTTGAGACACTCGATCGAACGTTCAAAGATATAATAGGTGTTGACCTGCCATTTGGAGGAAAGGTCATGATTCTTGGAGGAGATTTTCGACAAGTTCTTCCAGTCGTTTTCAATTTGTTCAGTGCCTATTACAGTGTCCTCACGCGCGTGCGAAAGACACTTTTTTCATCACGGCGCGCTACGCGCGACTTACACATTTTAGATGTATTTATATGCGAGGATTGGTTCAATGTATAGAAACATAAAATAAAGACGATTATCATCTCTAATAATACAGGTAGTAATTTAAAGTATTTATCTAGAATTTGTAAAAAAAAAAAAAGTAATAAATAACATAGAAGATCCTTATAATTTAGTTGCAACTAAAAGCTAAGTAAAAAGTATAAAAACAATCCAAGAACTTCAAATGGCCTTGATACACTTGACGGTTCTTCATATCATGAACTCATATCGCCGTTCTGTTGAAAATTTAATGCGTTCGGTTAGAATCAAATATTAGCATTATTTGTAATTGAATTGTATTAAAATTTGAAAACGGGAATTAAACATTAAAAGAAAAAAATATAACCTTATGTTGAATTCGAGGGAAGCAAAATATCTTTGTACACAACATTCTTTGTGAAGACTCCTTCATGACCGTGTAATTCTCCTTTCTTTACCAAGACTTTTGTTGTAGACGCTGATACTCCTCTTGATAAAGCCACGTACAATTGTCCATGACTGAATACGTGATCTGGTAGATAAATACCCACATTTGGTATTGTCTGCCCTTGTGATTTATTTATGGTTAGTGCAAAACTCAATTTCACTGGAAACTGTTTTCTTATCATTTCAAATGGGAGTCCAGCGCTTTCTGTGGTCTTTAAAGAGATTCTTGGTAAAAATACTCTAGTTCCAGCAAATTGTCCAGATAAGATTTCGGCATCAATTAGATTATTGTAAGCTCCATGGCAAGCCAGTCTTGTACCATTGCACAACCCCATCTTCGGATCGATATTTCTCAAAAGCATTATTGGGGCACCTTTTTTTCAAAGTTAACTGATGAGGGGGCATTCCACCAGGTGAGATTGAATTCAAGAACTCTTGTTGATACAAATTTCTCACATCGTCCTCAACTGAATCGAAAGAGTATAAGATATGTTCAGTCCCTGGAAATTTATCGATGATCATTTTATTAAGCTTGTCAGCATCCTCATTTTTTTGGAGTTATAATTGCCCTTTCCACCAAGTATCTTGAATCACATACATGACATTCCAAATCAGGGAAAACTTCATTAACAAATTGGACAATGGATTCTTCACCATTCCATGGAATGACCATAGATGATGGTAATTGCATCATGTCGTCTATCATAGTTTCTTGTTCCCCATTGCCGACATGAAGTAAGAACTCTGAAAAATCTTGATCATTGATGGATCTCATGTTGTGCCTAAGACGAATGATTTTCACATGTCCCCAAAATGAAGCATTAATCATACTTGCTTGCATCAATTCAGACCTTGTACCTTTTGGAACAACTGGAAGAACTTGTCGAAAATCTCCTCCAAGAATCATGACCTTTCCTCCAAATGGCAGGTCAACACCTATTATATCTTTGAACGTTCGATCGAGTGTCTCAAATGCAAACCTGTGTGCCATTGGTGCTTCATCCCAAACAACAGCTGATGTTTTTCTTATCAATTCTGCCAAATCTGACTGGATACTAATAGAACACGTGGAAGATGCATCTGGACTTAGGGGAATTTTAAATCTAGAGTGTGCTGTCCTTCCGCCTGGCAATATGGTTGCTGCAATTCCAGATGTTGCTGTTGCCAGAATAATATGACCTTTGCTCCTTAACGTTGCTAGCAAAGCACAATATAAGTATGTCTTTCCCGTCCCTCCAGGACCATCCACAAAAAATATGGCATTGTCTCGGCGTTCAATAGCAGACACAATCGAATTATACGCTACCATTTGGTCTTCATTTAGATTTTGTACCGCATTGAGGTTTGCTTCAGAGATGTCAAGTGAAACTTCATCTTGTATTATCCTTGGAAGTGTGTTGTGTCTAACACAATCTTGTGTTATTTGTGGTAGATCGTAATCAGATACAGACTTACTATGTTGCACTAATAGCCCATTCAAGTCTTGAAAAAGCTTGTTTAAGATAGAAGTATTATTTATGGTACTTGAGACAGAATAATCTTCTACCATAAATGAATGAAATTCATCCCACAATCTTCTTACTCCATGCGGTTCACAGTAAACCAAGATGGTAACAAACAACCTTCGTAAAACTGGTGGCATTCGAATGTTAGAGGCCTCACGAAGACATTGTGTGATGCTATCATCATCTTCTAGCAAACCTCGTTGTTCCACTGCCTTTTTAAATGTTGGTTGTACAATGTCATTGACTGTTCTTAAATCGTCAAATGATGTTGGTCCTCTAACATGATTAAGAAGGATGCGTAAGTAGAATTTTTCACCCTCATTTGGCGAAACTGCATATATTCGGCCAATAACTTTATGGTTATTCATCCTCTCACTCCAGACTTTATCTCTTTGACTCCATCTGAACCGTTCAGGGAACTCCCGGTATAAGTATCGTCGTGCTTCCGGGCAAGTGGTATTCTTGGTAAAAAACTCTGTCAACATAGTCATCGAGTTTGTGTCATCTGCCAAAATATCTGATACTCTTTGGTGAGGGTAAAAATGAACAGTTTGTCCTTCAGGGAGATGAATTTGTAATCGTTCCACCGATGGATAAAGTCGATTAGTTACAAATTTGAATATTCTCCATAAAGCTTCAGGTGCACAAACCCATCTTGCATCAACAAACTGCTTTATTTCATCTTGAATAGGTTCAGGATGGACTTCAAAAGCTACTCGGTCAGGACCTTTATAAACATATTTGTACAGATACTTAACACTCTTAATGCTGCAACAAATCTCAACATTAATATGACAATCATATCTGAGGAGTAACCATGAGTTATACGGAATGACCCACCGATTATCCACCATTATACGTGCATTTTGATCTAATGGGACTGGATTATGATTGTCTCTTCTACGATAGACTGGATAAGAATCATTTCCTTGAACTGTAGTTGGTGCAAATGGCTTAGGATAATTTCGTTTACAACTACCACGTTTCATACAGGGTGATCGTGAATTGTGTATTCCACATGGACCATGTATCATATGCCTTAACACGGCACCATACAATTCAGGCTCTTCATTTGGAATTGGTATTTCAGCACGTACCATTTGATCATAATCATCTGGACTATTAAGCTTATCATTTTCTTCTAACATGAGAAGCATGTGAACATGGGGGAGACCGCGCTTTTGAAACTCAATGACATATACATACGCAAGAACTCTGCCTAAAACACTTTTTTTTATAACATCATTCTTCAACTGTTCGAATTTTGCACGAAAAACCCTTGTAAGCAAATCTGGTCGATCTTGTGGTGCTTGGCCAGGTAGTAGCTCATCACTTATTTCTTCCCAATTTGGATTACATGTCATTGTGAGGAAAATATCTGGTCTTCCATATTTTTGCACCAAAGTCATTGCATCTTGACACCTTTGATACATGTCACGGGGACTACCAACAAAAGATGATGGTAATATAGTCCTACGACGACCAATGTTTCCTGTATTTGTTTTGTTAAAAGTCGTTAATAAGTCTAAATATGTTTGTTTTGTTTCAACCCATTAATAAGTCTCATTTAATGTGACAAAACATGAACATGAAGAATATATTTTTTTTATTATAAACTAATTAGCCTCATACCTGCATTATTTTGTCCTGCAATTAATGAGTCTTGTAGTCCTCGATAAAATTCAGATCGAATTGTGTGTTGATTATCACGCATCCATCTAAGCTTTTGTGATTCGATCTTTACGTAGTTGTCAACTACATATTGCTGCAATAGGCGGCCACCACGAAGTAGAAGCGATTCATCATGTTGACGGATCTAAAATGATAAAATTCATTGTTCAACACAATATAAGTTTTAAAAATTAATATTTATTGACAGAGATGAAGGTCTTAGGTTACCTGAAGAACATACAAATAATAGTCACAACATGTCACTTTTCTGTTGGTATTATTTGAGTATTCACATCCCATCCGTACGTTCCATAAGGTAACAACAATGGATATTGTAAAGGGTCATAGTAGCCGACACAATCTTTGATACTCTTAAGTTGACCATCCGTAGTTTGCACAACAATATCTCGACCTCTAATGTTTTCTGATCCTTCACCACCTACTATGATTGCAGCAACCTGAGATGCAGACGGTAGACAATATTGTCGTTGATTCGCGGGCTGCTCCTTGATAATCAATCTACAACTTTGCAAATCTTGACGTTGTGCAAGGTGGTGAAATGTTTGCACAAATGGATTATATTGATTCAAGATTTGTTGGATTTTTTCAACCACATCTCTGTTTAGTGCTTCACTTTCTCTCATCCGATTGTCTATTTCATGAGCAGTGTCATATATATACATTTGTAGGAATCTTGGTCTACTATCTCCAATAGGCAAGAGACTTCCAATCTTATGGTATATGGAACCTTGAGCACGAAATGTGTAAATACCACGTCTTCCTGTTGCTAGGTTTTCGTCAACATGAACTCCCATTGATGTGAAGGCAAAAATGTGGTTGTAAGCTCGTATATTCTGCCTAAAATGTCTTCCCTGGGCAGATTGGTTGCAAAAAAGCTCAGTCATTTCAGGAGGGGATGGTGTCAATGGTAGAGCAAGCTTTCCACGTAAGCAACACATTTCAAATGTTTCATGAGAGAACAAACGGGCATGACAATCTGGACATGTGGTTGGATTTGGCATGTGAAATCTTGGGATTCCCATGTTTTCATTGAAGTTTCTAGCACAATTATGAATTGGCCTTGTTCCCATCGTATGCTGTCGAGGTGGTACGTCCTCGTTAGGCTGGATCTCATTTTCATTAATGAGATTAAAATCATCTGCTTCAAAAGGAAACATTAAAAATGTTTTATGATTTAGAGAGCATAGTTAAAATTGTAGGTATTAATATTCCAAAACCGATACCTTCATTGATGATGGGTGGATAAGAATGATTCATTGGAGTATTCGAACGGAATGATTGCCTTGTTGTGTTTTCTGTATTAATGAAATGGAATAGAAGTAAGGTAATAAGTGGTGTTTACAATAATGATGATATTGATATTTATCTTTTTCAAAGTTGTAGTATGGTAGTTTGTGCGATTACCACTATTAGTTAAACTTTGAATAAGTCCATCCTGAGGCAAGCGTGCCCTATTCGATCGAGCAATTTGCCTTATATGAGTTAAGCGCATTGTTCTTGGAACTTGATTGCTGCTGCCTTCTCCAAACGGCACTATGTTGAGTCGTTCAACATGATTGCTACTGCCTTCATCGAATTGCACTATGTTAGGGTGTTGAACTTGATCGGTATTGCCACCAAATAACATTATGTTTGAGCATTGAATTTGTTGATCACGATAATTGGATCGTCGTTGTGCTAAGTAATCGTGCCTTTGCCTTGAACTCATTGAATTCCGCCTCATACGTTGTTGATCCCGCCATTGCTCTCGTTGGCTTTGTCTCTCATTAGTAACATATGCATCTTGTTGCTCTAAACCAAGAAACGTAATGATGCACGAAAAATATTAGTAAGTATATAATATTATTTAAGTACCTACATACTTATTTTTTTTCCTTTTGTTTTTGTAATTGAATCAGTGGTATACATTACGTTTTTTTTCTTCGTTTGATTGGAAAATAAAAATAAAAAAAAGTTTACGGTAGACTTAGTTTACTATTATTTTTCCTTTTGTTTTTGTAATTGAATCAGTGGTATACATTACGTTTTTTTTTCTTCGTTTGATTGGAAAATAAAAATAAAAAAAAGTTTACGGTAGACTTAGTTTATTATTATTTTTCCTTTTGTTTTTGTAATTGAATCAGTGGTATACATTACGTTTTTTTTCTTCGTTTGATTGGAAAATAAAAATAAAAAAAAAGTTTACGTAGACTTAGTTTATTAAAGAGTAAATACAATAATAGTGGTAAAATAAAATTAGTTTAAAGCAGACAATTTAGCACATAGTGTCACGGGAAGAGAGGAGGAGGACAAAGGAATGGTTTCTAACTTATAGAACTATTTTGTTTTATCCCCATGTCGTGAATCAACCATTGGGGGTCTAGTGTTGTTATAGAACTAATAATATGATTATGTTTTCCCTTGATTATTATAGTTGAACTTTTATTCCATGTTTACATAAAAAATTTATCACTTACCGTTCCTGACATATTCCTTTCCTTATTATTATTATTATTTTTGGAGTACTTGTTAAAACGTTGGTCACTGTGGTAAATATATACAATCCAAATGTTGGAATTGTTATAGACATAACAGAATTATTAAATGGATGTTTCCATTGATAGTACGAAAGGCAATGACAATGTAAAATAACTAATCGTTCAATCTTAATGGATGTGTCTTAATAATTTGTACAAAAAATATTCATACAACATATGGATTTACAAATATATATATATAATTAATAGAGACAAAAAAAATAATAGTTACCCGCTGATGTTGGTCCTATGTCATCTTGGTTTACTTCCGTTTGATTTTGTACTATATTTACCGAGTTCAATCGGGCTTGATAATTAGCACGTCGTCGCAGTGAAATTCGAGCCCGCTGTGATGAATTCATAGATTGTCGTCTTTGCCTTTGTTGATTGCTCCTACGATACCTTTGGTTTGACTGTTGAGAATTGTGAACATTTGTTTGTCCGAAGTGAACTTCTTCATTGCCGACCTACATTGAGAAATTGCCAAAAAGAATGAATTTTATTTTATTTTTGAAAAAGAAAAAATAAATCATCTCTACATTAGAGGAATAATGCAGAAAAGGTAAGAACCTCTGACATATTGGTTCTATCATTTCCCTCCATACTTGATATGTTGAAGTCCTTTGGGAATCTTAAAAGTGAATACGTCTCCTGTCACACAAAAACTCCCTAGACTAAGAAGCAGTTCCACAGGGAAGCAGTTTAACAGTAGTCGATGCAATACCTAAGCCAATGAAAAATACAGAAATTGCAGACTAAATGAAAAAAATTTACGTTCAGAATATAAGTAACTTAAAAACTGCACATAAACAGAATTTATATTACAATTGAACCAACCTTTGCTAATGCTGACCCATCAGCGGATCGAACTGCCCCTACATTAAAGCAGGAAAAAGTTCATTTGACATGGCTAAATAAACTTGAGGGTTGCATAAATCAAGTTATTATTAAATAAGGAATATAGAATGAATGATATTGACTCTAATGTACATATGAATTGTGAGAGGAAAACTTACCATTTATTCACGAAATTAATCCGGAAGAAAGAAGCAATCTTCCGATCGAACCCAAATTCCAAATTCAAAAGTAGACGGGTCCGAGAAAGGCAGGCGTGTGATATGGTTGTCCCACTGCAATATAAATTCAATCACAAAATTGTTAAAGGTGTGTCCTTTTTACCCCATAATTGACAGAGTAAAACAACATATAATCATAGAAACTTTCGCTTATTGGTGAATGCTGGACGAAGAGAGGAAAAAAATCGCATGAGAATAAGAAACCATTCAACAATAAGCATCATGCAAGCTGTCAAGAACCACTAATAAAAGTATCAAATAACACAAAAGATCAACTGCATTGTATACAATAGGAGAATGAGAATTAAGAAGGCAGCAAGGAACAAAGAAAATTAAAAGAGTGAAAAATAAAAACTGGATTGATGGTGTAAAACGGAAGTATCTGAGCTAGTTGGAGACTTCCATACCTCAAACCGAAGGCGGCGTTACGCGGGAATGCTCTGCCTTGGTTTCAAAGGGATGTTCCCGTCGGATACAATACGCCAGCACGCGGGAATGAGAGGGATCTTCCCGTCGGATACAATACGCCAGTTTTTAACCCTTTGCTGCTTTTGAGCTTTGTATGTGGTTTCTGCTTCACAAACGGCGAAAGGCAGAGAGAGAAAACAGAAAATGGGGAATAGACAATCCGTTAAGATCAGCATGTGCTATGTCTTCTCTTAGTGAGAGTGACTGGTCTCAAGTCATTGGTGTGACTGACACCAAGACAAGTACGTAGGTGCTCAATAAGGAATGAGTTCACTGAACACGATCAACGAAGAGTTCTCATACTCATGTCACATGAGATCTCATGGTTGGGATAATGCAAAGTAGTCCTTTGACCTGAGGCATCATAGTTGTCTTGTGGTTAGGTCCTTGATCTTTGATTATGTCAAAGTCACTCCATTCGCGGGTGTCCACGGCATAGTTGGGGTTAAGCCACTTAGCCATGGAGGCAAGTGAATGTGCAACAAGGGATCTCTAACCTTCAAACTGTTTAAGGGAGAATACTCTATGATATGATTAAGAATCTCTGGCCAGAGTATGAATGAGATTTAGGAAGTCGTTCCAAATCACATTCAAGATAATCATATAAGTAAATGAATCACATTGGATAGTAGACATGAATAAACTATCAAACCAAACAATGTGGTCAAGAGTATTGTATTAGAGAAAGACCGTATTTCATTGTAATCCTAAACTGAATAGGTTCTCCACCTCTTCTGATTAGCTTGGGTAACCATGATATGCTGCTAGGTGTCACTCGTGGTTTGTGGAAGCCCTAAACGTGTATAAACACTAAAGGGAGAATTGAAAGTAAGTTTCAATTCACAATCGATTTGAAAGAGTTTTAATCGCCCACTGCCTCGCTAAAAAGGAACCTAATGGATCGTACACCGTGTAAGGTAGAGATTGAAGAAACAACGGATATGAGTAAGAATAATTAAATGGTTTAATTATTTATGGCAAGGATTAATTAATATGTTAATTAATCAAACGAATAAGTTCGTTAAAGACCTCGGGATAGTATTGGACCTTAAGGCCCAATGGGCTTTGAACGTCAAGTCCATTGACTTAAGTTGTATGACAACTTAATGAATAATGATTCACAAAGGCCAAAATAGCCCAATAATACCCTAAGGCCGGCCATTTAGAGGAAGGGTAGTGAACTTGCTTTAATTACAAGTTTGCCACTCCAATGAATAAAGGTATAAATATGACTTTATAGCCAAAATTCATTTAGGGTTTTTTGAGGAAATTGGAGAGAACACAAAGCTCTCCTTTCTCTCTAAAGAGGCCGGCCACCCTTGGAGGGATTAGCTAGTAATCTTTCTCCTCCAAGTTCACTCATCTCTTCTTCACATCTTACCTTGGTGTGGAGACTTAGAGGTTCTCAATTTTGGGAACTTGGAGAAACCTATTCTTCCATCCAAATCCATGGATCTAAGAAGCAAGGAATAAAGGCCCTATCTCTTGGGTGATTATCATTTGCTTTTGCAAAGAGGAATCTACAAAGGTATAAATTTCTCAACTCACTTTCTTTTGAGTTGAGTCTTGGTTCACCTAACTACTAGGCTTTGAATTTCATGGGTAATGTTTTGTTTTGAGTGCATGCAAGCATGATTCCGCCTTTAATTTGTTAATTGCATGTTATAGATGTTGCTCAAATGAACATGTTTTTCACAAAATTTCGTTCATTTCGTTCATATATAAACCCATGAAACCATTGGTATTAAAGATTGAAAATTAGAGTTAATTTTTACTCTTGAGAAATAGGGTTTCCCTACTTTGTTTCTCAAATGATCCATGTGTCAAATTCTGAGTCGTGTCTTGAGAGTACGAAATATATAAAGTTCACCAGAGTCCGAAGATTGAAGTGCTTTGACTTCGGATTATAGATTGTTGAATTCTGGGAGATGGACGCCTATCGAACTACAAGCACAAGAGTAGGGGCGAAATTCTATCTTTAGGACATTGCATTTATGCAAACCTCAATCTCTAAGTTTGTCAGTTTTCTAACTCTATCTCTAGTTGTTTATATTAATCTTGTATACTAGATGTTGTTAATTTCCTTTATTATTATTATTATTGGAATTATATTGTTATTTTCATATTTTCTAATATTGCTCCAACATTAGCTTTATTTTGTAATCAAGGTGGTACACAAATCGGGGGATGCACGTCTCTTCACCTATGCCGGAACCCTTGGGCACTCACTTTGTTATGAACCCAAAATAGGTCTCAATTGTGATTGTCTTAATTGGTGATTTAGAGAGTTAATTGAAGGTTTTATCACTTAGTTTTCATTAGTAAGGAGTGTTAAATATGCTAGCTAGCATTTTAAGGGGTGGAGTCTGTATAAAAGGAGCCCAATTCCCAGAAAACAAATCAGATCAAAGTTTTACAAAAGAAATCTGAGCATTACTCATGTCAATCATACATAAACATTCATGAGCATCACTCATCCAATCATACATAAACATTCATGAGCATCACTCATGTCAACATCCATGAGCATCACTCATGTCAATCAACATAAACATTCATGAGCATCACTCATGTCAATTAGCTTCAAAAGCTTAACTTACAAAAGCATCAACTTCGAAAACTTCATTTACAGAGTTCCAGCTTTAAAGTTTCACTTGCAAAGCTTCACCTACAAAGCTTTAGTGCAAGGTAGAAAAATATTGCCTCCGAAGACTTGGGGAACTACATTATGTACCATATATTGGGCCTCAACTGGGCCTCATGAAAAATACTTGAGGGACTTAGCCCATTATTTATGTATTAAGGAGCGAGCCCTTATTCTATAAAAGGGACTCCCTCACTTTCATTAGAAAGCACTCATTATTCATGTACTGAGGAGCAAACCCTTATTTTATAAAAGGGACTCCCTCACCTTCATTAGAGAGAAACGCTGCCAGCTGAGCAACCGCCTCGCCGCTAGCATCACTCCTAGCCCATCACTTATGTATTGAGGAGCAAGCCCTTATTCTATAAAAGGGACTTCCTCACCTTCATTAGAGAGCAACGCCGCCAGCTGAGCAACCGCCTCGCCGCGAGCATAACTCCTAGTTCATCACTTATGTATTGAGGAGCGAACCCTTATTTTATAAAAAGGGACTCCCTCACCTTCATTAGAGAGCAACGCCACCAGCTGAGCAACCGCCTCGCCGCGAGCATCACTCCTAACCCATCACTTATGTATTGAGGAGCGAACCCTTATTTTATAAAAAGGGACTCCCTCACCTTCATTAGAGAGCAACACCACCAGCTGAGCAACCGCCTCGCCGCGAGCATCACTCCTAACCCATCATTTATGTACTGACGAGCAAGCCCTTATTTTATAAAAGAGACTTCCTCACCATCATTAGAAGAGCATCGCCGCCAGCTAAGCAACCGCCTCGCCGCGAGCATCAACTCTAGCCCATCATTCATGTATTGAGGAGCGAGCCTGTTGAGTAGATTTTATATTATATATTTTACCCTAAGCTTAGTATATTTTGGTTAATATATTGGAAGAATTTTGATACTTTGAATTGTATTTTCAATATAGGACTTTCGACTTCCTCTGGAGCAAAATAGGATCAAATGGACGAATTTTGGAGTGATTCTAGTTGGAGGACGTTCATGAGTCACTTAGCTTAATCTTATCAAAATTTGGGATTTTTCCATCAAGCGGTTATTTTCTGGCGATAAAAGAAAGAAGCAGTGCGCAGTGCTGGAAAATGACGTTTTTGGGCTTAAATTGCGTTTTTGGAGCCCAAAATGACCTCGGATGGGTTCGTGGCCTTCTGGAGAAGTGTTCAGAATATTCCAAACATTAAATCCAGCTATATTGGGCCAGTTTTGGAGCAGATTATGGGTCCAAAACGTGGCTGTTCAGATTTTAGACGAATTTTACCATTTAAATTAGGGTTATGTTTCCTATTTTATTGGAATTAATTTTAGTTTCCTAGGGTTTGTGTGGGGGCTTAGCAGATATATTGCTTGGTCGTCTACCATATTTGAGGACGCTCTATTTTATGCAATTTTTGGAGACAGAGAGAAGGGCTAGGGTTTTGGAGATTTTCTACTTGAAGGTGTTTTCAATCATTTTCTTAATAATATTTTCTATGATTTCAATTATGAATATGCGGAACTAATTTCTTTTGCTAGGGCGAAGCCTTGAGCCTCAGCATGAATATGTGATTTTTAGTTAATTGCTTATGATTGATTGCATGCATACTTTGAATTGTTAATCTCTAGGATAAAAACTATCTAATTGTCTTAATGCCTGATCACCATTAGGATCTTTAGAAAAGTAATTTGATGCAATTTTGGTCGGAAGGTTCCCTGAAATTGACGCTGGCTTCTTATGATTAATAATTGTAATTTCACTTAGGATGAATATCACGTCTTAAGGATTGCATGGTTTTTCAAAGGATTTTCATAAAGCATAATGAGTCTTTCATGTTCAGATTTGATCCGAACGTCCGGACGGGTTGCATGTTAGATATACGTTCTATGTTGGAGGTTCCAAGTACAATATGAATTAGGAAAATCTAACCTTCAAAGTGACATGTATAGATCATAAGTAATGGGTAAAAATTCATAGGATTGCTAGGTGATGGTGGAACCCAGTGCTTTCTTAATTTGATTCTCCCAAAACTGTTTTTTTTTTCTCTAGCTCTAATATTGAAGATTGTTTATTTTAATTCTTTAATTTCATTTTTATTTTAATTAGGTTATAAAATCAATCACCTGAACTTCTACTTTACAATAATTAAATGGAATCTGATTAATTTCGAATTATTTAATAATCCCTGTGGAGACGACCTTGCGAGATCCGTTTATACTACAATAATCTTGTGATTCTTGCAAGTAAAATAGGAGATTTAAGCCCGTTCACATGAGTAGTGAAAATCCTATC